ATCTTCGAGTGCTATATGAGCAAGATCTTTTCACTTCGAACGCCACTGGTGAAGGTGTCGCATATTGTCATCGCAAACAATTCGAAAATGAGATATGTATTTTGGCTGTTACATGACATGGATATCACGAAAAGTCATGTAGCTCATTTCTGTCGGTCTCGCTAATCCTTGGTAAGTTCATAACTTGGAAGGTACCGATCGGATTTTGATAAAATTATAAATTAATGTTACTACTACGCCAAGGACGAAAGTGTTTTGTAGCTTTTGCAAATCGGTCCAGTAGCGTCGGAGCTGGGGGCAAAATATAAGTAAATTCGCTCAAGCTCTGTCTTTTGACGTTTCTGAAAACTTGGAGGGAGTTAAAAAATTAAGGTAAGGAGTTACAGGGGGTGGTGGAGGGTATATCTCATTTTTTTTGCGTAAGTATGTTTATACGCTTCCAACCGCGGTAACTCTACGCATCTGTTAGACATATTTTCCCGTAGATTTGCCGTTAAAACTTGGAATATCTTCAACTCAGGCGTCCCTGAATATTCATGGATTTATCTGAGTCGCGATCCTGCCGATGTTGACTGTGGTTCGTAGTCGGTGATGTTGTGCCATGACTGACGATTAGCGAGGTTTATTATAGCAACGTTGATCTGTACTGTCGGTTGGGCAGTTGATATATTTCTAGATCGCGTAGACGAAGTTCAATGGGTAGGGACTATGGACTAATTGTATGCACCCGTTTGACTGACTTGATCTGCTAAATTTTTGTATTATGTATAATCGTAGCCAACTTTTTTGACAGATGTTATCAATATATATAATTTATTCAATAATGTTTATGAATTCTGATCGATTTTAATCTCTTCGCGACGCACAGATCAGACATATACTTCTGGAGTAGCAAAATACCACAGCAATAGCAAGGCATTATTTTCTTCTGGCTTTATCGTACGTTGCTATTCTGCTTTGAATTTATCTTATTCTAAACGAAGCATATCCAAATAAACTCTTAGCTGATAAGTACACAACTCACTTTAGCAGATAAGTAAAACATATACTGATGAAGTTTCAATCTACTTCTATTGAACGCTGGCAAGTCGGGCCGTTTAAAATATAATGGAAATCGGCAAGACGAGATTTTCTTATACTAGAATTTTACTATTTTTACCCGACTGAATTGCCGCAGAAGATGTATGTCTTTCGCATGTGTGTGGACAGCTACAGTCTTAACGATTGATGGATCTTGACGTATGAGATATTCTTGATTTCATCTTAGCGATGCGAATGACATTTATTCTATTAAAATTCTATGTAATCAAAATTATAGATTTTAAAGGATAAAATTCCACCTTGGAGTTTCTATCTTACGGGGTACAGCTTAAATGGCACGATAGGTTTTCATATATATTATGGGTCTATGGACTTGTCTTGACAGTGCCAGTCATACTTAGTAGGTATACTATAATTTTGTAAAATCTAATTGGTGGATTTTAGTCGCAAATGTAGCCTCTGAAATTCCTTTTCCTTGAGCTACAGCTTGTAGGGCTTGATTAATTTTGACTTACGAGGTACCTCTAGATTTGTCTCAATAATGTAACTGAAAATGGATATACTAAAACTGTATCCACTCAGAATAGTGACTTTTCTAAATTGATGGCCTTTGACACTTGATAGCACACCTAGAGCTTCATTGTTTTCAGTTATTACAGTCCGGTTTTTTTGTGTTTTCAAAAATTGTACTGGTTTACGATAATCAAAACTGGCAAAATATTAGTCTAACCATGACTTCCATTTAACTCGTCCCGGATTCCCAAACTTGTAGAGTCGTTGATCGGCGACCCGTCCACGTGTCCTTTTTTGATCCGCGTTCTTCCCTCTTTTTCATCCCCATTCTGCCTGATATATTCTTCCTTCTCTTTCGGGACGCCATCGCAGCGCCCCGTGGATCAATACCAGTTTTGCCCTGTGACGCTACAGTGAGGCACCCAAAACTGAGATGCAGGGGCGATAACAGCCTGGGGTGTACGTTGAAGGGTGATTGACAGACGTCAGCATAAAGATGATTGGGGTGATTTCGCTTGGTTTGTATGAGTACAATGGTTTTGTGTCGAGCCAATCTAGAATGAAAATGGCGCTAAGCTGGTTGGCATTGTAAGTCCAACTCAGTCAAAGTATGGTGGAGATTCTAGGTCAAGAAATGGTAGAGTAGGCTGACCCAGAGTCGTATGATAAAAATATACTGAGGATATGTTCGGGTCAGCTAACTTTATAGCTGAATAATTTTCACTTCAGGCAGTTCACTTCAGTCATATCGTGTTCAAAGTAACGAAGTCAAATATAGCCACTACCTAAAATTGGAGTCATTTTCCTTCAACAGCAATCAAACATCAAAATATCGCATCTAGATGGCATAATAAACAACAAATTGGGCTCATTCAGAGGACATAGGTACCCTAGCGCTTCAAGTCGACGGCTATTTGCAATAAATAAAGGCTACTGCGCTCACGCTATTTATTTTAAGAATATGGCCACATATGTGACAATATATAATAATGATTTTCCTTATTTCTTGTCTAGGTATATCATTATCGCCTAGCATGGATTGCCAATCCGTCTGTCTGCGCAGCTTTTTCACCTTCATAACTTGTAGTACCTGTGTTCTCATTATCGTAATGGTGAGCTAGTAGATCATGATAATTCCATAAGATGGTGTTTTTTTAGTTGCAACGTGGTCAGAAAGGTCCCCGGACTTATTTTCAATAATGTGAAAATAACAAGAAAATTTCAAGATTGCGGTCTTACAACTTTTTTTGAATGGAATAAATGATACCGAATCTTTAAGCTCTTTATGAGTACCTCATAAATCTAGAATATACTCTTACTATTTTCCAGAAAAGACGTGTATCTAAATGTGCATTAAGATGTAGAACATTCAGATTGAAGAAATGGGCAGATTTTGACATTTTTTTCCAATGAAACATTCCATATTCCATTACATTCACATACTATAGCGCTTTGATGATATCTGACATTTGACAACCTGCCAGTTTGCCAATATTGGAAACATATAATAGTAAAGCACTCATAAGAAGCTCCAAACTGAGGTATTAAATGACTTCATCGTCTTAAAACTTCCAATTCCACTAAAATATAGTATTGATGCATCAAGTACATTACTCGAGATTTCAACTCCCAAACTTGCCGGTTTAAAAATAAGAAGGAGGATTTTTTTGAGAAGCAGTGCATGTGTACCCCAAAGTAACTTTTAAAGTGGTTCCAGTACTATTTCATTCGAATCATCCAAGAATGATCCTTTTTAGATTCGTCTATTCGATGTAAAAAACATCTTTCTCATTCTAAATAAGCTGCCACGATAGGTAGACAGGTGGAGATTTCTATGAAAGGTCTCATATATGCTATGTTATAAATGGATATAAAATGTAAATTTTATTTGAAGCCTCCGATATATATTACTTTACCATTTCAGCTTATTCAATAACATGCAAAATAACCCTACACAGCATCTTCTTGATTCACGCTGAGTTTTCGGAAAATATATTGGAACAGACATTTCTTCTACCGCTTTCAGTACAGATGAGATTTAGTTAAAATTAAATGTTAACCGATACTTTGAAGATTGATATTAGTGCCACAGTTTTCTTCAAAAGAAAATTTTGAGAGGGAGAAGTATGGCCCAAGTTACGCCTTCGTGGAATTTAAGGATTACTGTCTTTATGTATGGGTCAGAGGCATGAGTAGTAATTGACGTCTACAAGTAACCTTTTGAAACAGGACACAACACTATGATAGAGAGGAAAATGTCACAGTACCCACAAATAATAAGAACAACCAAAAAGCCGTTCCTTTCGGCTGGTTGGAGTCCAGATCACCGAAGACTTGATCTGGCACGAACACGTGTCCTCAATAGCGGCAGCTGCTTGGAAAAAGTGGGCTAACTGTTTAGAGCTAAGAAATACTTTTCTCCACATGGCCTCCTCACTCTGTACAAGGCCCAGATAAGATCTAGTCTCGAATACTGCTTACATGATTGGGGTGCTACGCTCGGTGCTGCGGCCCCGACTTCATTATCTATGCTAGATGCTGTTCAGAGAAGGGCGCTCGACTTGGTTATTAGACGTCAACGACGTCAAAGTCGAAAAATTATATTTTTGCGTATATTAAACAGGTATGAAGTATTGGTTTTAGTCGTATGCAGAAGAGTTACATAGAGGATGAAACACCTTCAAAATGAGATCTCATATGTCTAATTTGCTAGACAGTTCGTCAAGAGTGTCCATTGACGTCAAAAAATAACGATTTTTCAGAAAATGTTGTGCCTCCTTGATAAATTTCTCTCTGCCTGGTTATCACCACACAGTATTTAAGTACTACTTTATACTCTGAATTGTGCACTTTTTGATAAACAGATGAATTTAAAAATGTTTTGAATGAAAAATTATCCGCTACAGCACATGAAGTGTATAGGGTCTCATTTACATGCTTTATACCTTTCGTCTTGATCAGTTCTAGCAACAACTCATAGTTTTTGAGTGTTAGTTAAGCAGTCACCTAACAAAATTATTTGTATCTCTAGATGGAGAACATCTTGATTTACTCTCAATGATATATTTCTGTTATAAAGTGCGTCTAAGTATTTTTTTCTGCAGTTCCAGGTATCCTGGTCTATAAGTCACGAGCATAACTGAGAACAATGCACTTCAGCTACTGAAACAATTTCAAGATGTCCAGTTACATCATAAGTAAGAGAAGAAAGAAAAAACGGCAACCCGAAGGGAAAATAATTCAAATAATTTTAGATATTGCAAAATTCGTTCTGGTTGCCCCATCTTTACGGAAAGATATTACAGTTTCGCCGGCCTATTCTGTAGGGTTCTATACAGATGTCCTTTTCTCATGAAAATCGATTATCCTTCATGCAGCTGTACTCCTTGAAGCAGGCTGCTGGAAGTTTCCTTTCACACCAGCAGATGGCGTAGGTAGTACAGCAACGAAGTCGCACGTTTTTCAAACAGAAAAAAAATGTCACAAAATATTCAAAAAATGTAGAAACACAGACTGATAAGAATAAATAAGAAATATGAAAAGTTAGAATGCTTGATTATGTGCGTTAGGGATATAATTACTGTAGTTTTGTTTATTTAGAAAATTTGCATATTGTGTGAAGTGGATGTTCTGTGTGCTCGGGTGGCATTTTTCGGAGGTAAGGTGGAATGCATCATTTGATTCGAAATCATCACAATTTTGTCCCATGTATTAGGTGTATAAATATCCAAAGTGTTTCAGTTTCAAGATGCTCCTTTCTGACGCTTTGTGGCGCACCAAGAAAATTCAATCGAACATCTTTCTTTAGGGACTAAAACAAAATTATGTTTATTCTTTCTTCTTGTAAGACTGGTGCATTTTCTACAGGGTAAAAGGTTAACAGATGTAATCAGAAACTTTTTTCTGTTCTTTGAGCAATGATTTACCGAAAACGTCATTGTTGCAGATATCAAACAACAAATTTCAAAAATCAGGTGGCTTATAGCATCTATGCTACGATTTGGTCGACTATTTCACTAAACTGTTGCCTAAGGTTTCGGTCAGTGACATGGACGGGTGATCAAAAAATACGCTGGGTAATCCCAATGTGCGACAAACCCGATTTTATGGAAAGTGGTGTAGAGGTATCTTCAAACTCGATGTACATACAAGGCCCACATCGTAAGAAAAGATGGCCATGAGTACGTCAATCTTCATGCACCTGGTTACAAATCAGACCCTTATAGGTTTGAAAGAAACACTAAATGTCCTGACTACTTTTATTTTCGTAAATGTAACTATAAAAGTATTATAGATACGATAAAGTAGCACCCACGCATTAGCAAACATAATATATACATGTATTATTACGATCAAGCCAAAATAAGTTATGTATCGTTGGACGCTGAACAAAGAAAAAATGACCCCAAAAAACATTCCAACTATCTACCATTATCTTTTATCGATTTTCTTGCTCACTCAGAAATATTAAGGCCCCGAAAAGTTTTCACGGGAATGTTTTAATTTACTTTTAGGAACCGAAAGTAGCATTTTTGCATTTCTTGCTACCTCAATCGGAACGAATCAACTCAAGTGAATCTTAGGTAGAATATCATCATCTGATTGGAAAAATGTTCTGGTGAGGACCTTTTAACTAACCCTCACCAAAAGCGATCCCTTTTAACGAGTTTGCATGTTGCAGTCCCAAATTATTGTAAAAAATGTTTAAACAAGTTTAAAAGAAATACACAAATGCAGTTAAAGTGTTTTAATATTTTTAGGATATTCTGAACCCTAAGGTGCTTTTCTTCTAGTTGATAGGTTTCTAGATATAAGCGATGCAATAATTGAAAAAGAACAAAATATGCCATTACCCAACCCGAAGAACAATAATCGAAAATGAAAATCTTAATGCTATCAATCTTCTTAAATACTTATACATATCCGTTAATAATACCATTTTATGGGACATTGTTACTGTAAACATTTTTCCTTAGTGAAAATCAACACATTGATGAACAATTGAAAAACAAAGGTTTAGAATAACAATATAGCCTGAAAAGCTTTGATATTTTATTAATGGATATTTTTGAAGAATGTAGGAAGCTCGGCAACTTTAAAATATCCGCTTTTCCATATTGTTTCTCTGAGTCAAGAATGGAATATGTCGCACTATTTCAAATACTGTTTTGCTAACATCTCGAAAACTACCAATTCTAGAGAAAAGCTCTAAAACACCTTATCTGTACAGAATTTCCCAAAATACCGGATCGAAGTGACCAAAACAATTTTTGGGATTTAAAAAAAGAATGTCTAATACAACCTTTTGGTCCCTTGTGTTCTCTTTATATTTTATGTAGCATCAAAATAAACATTCAACTTTGTTGTCCATGGATAGTTTTTAGGATGAGCTAAATAGATTTTAATTATCTTCTCGATTTGGTAAAAAACACGAGAGGTTACAGTTTTAGCTGCTCAATCTCAAACTACAAAAAACCATTGACGTATTTCATTAACGGGTCAGTGAAGAATATAAAATAGATATCAAAATATTCGTTTTTTCCTATTCTTTCCCGATCGAATATGGCATATTTCGCAATATTTCATTTGCTTATGTCTCGAAAAGTACCAACTTTGTGAAAAAGCCCTAAAGCAGATTTTTTTTGTACAGAATGTCCCAGAAAAACCTGAAATGAATAAAACGTTTTTTGGAATTTAACAGAAATGTTGAATACAACTTTTTGGTCTCTTGATCTCTCGCCATACTTTGTTTAGTATGAAAATAAATATTCACCTTTCTCGTCCTTGGATAGTTCTTAGCTGAAGCTGGTGGAGGAAAAACATAAGAAACTAAAAAGTTGTGCGTTTAGCAGCTCAGTCTCAAACTACAAAGAAACCATCAACATATTTTTTTTTCTCAAAGAAATCGCCTTGTACAGAAACGAAGTAACTTCGCATATGTGTTCATAGGAGCTTTATTTCTCAAAACCACCTAGCGAGTCCTCTGAAGTTCCGTACCACAGTATAAAGAATTATTGATTGTCTCACGATTTTTACTTCACACCTCAACTGATGAGGAATTTTTGTAACCGCGAGAAATTTTAAAAATGAGAAATTACATTTTTAGTTATTATAGGCCATGTTCACATCACGAAAAACCATGTCATCCATTTCCGTCAGCCAGTCTGTCGCTCAGTCGCCAATCCTTGTCTCACTTATAACATAGAAAGTATTGCTCGGACTGGAATGAAATTCTCACACAAAGTTACAACTCAGCAAAGGTTGAAACAGCTTTGTAGTTTTTGGAAGTCGGTGCAGTGGCGGTAGAGAAAAATGCAAAAGGCAAAAAAAAATTAAAACCGCTCAAATTTCGTTTTCTGGCGTTTCAGAGGAACGTGATCATTTTTGCAGACGTAAAGGTGGAGGAGGGTAGTCAGTTGTAGGTGGGTGGGTATCGCAATTTTTGGTCGTTAGCTTATTAACGCACTTCCAGCCCCGGTAATTCTATGCACCTATTTAGAAATACCATATTTCACACATTATAGATTTCCCCGTACATTTACCCTTAAAAAAATTCAGCTAAATGATCGTGTACCGATCGGTCGCACTTACCGTACGCCATGTTTTGTACCGGATCTAAGGGAGTTCTCAAACCAGGCGATGACGCTGTGATGCGGTATGCAGATACTCGTGAATATCTAAATATTATAATCAGTTATCCAATATTGTTGACATACAGTTTTTTCTCAGAGCTACCTTGAACGGAAACAATCATTATCGCAATCTGAAGAGCTTTTTCTTTCCTGGAAAGCCCAAATAGTGCACTAATGTGACGTCTTTGTTAGGAGTTTCATTGATTGACTAATTTATCCTGTCTCTAGGAAGTATATAGCATTAAATCAATTGAAAATGTTTTTCTAACGGAACCGTCGTCTCCGCCATGTCCAGTACTTATTTCATAGCGTCACTGATATAAGATTTTCAAGAATAGCACACAGAGGATTATGTATCTTCATACATACTCACATTCAGCGAAAAAGACTGATCTCTTTAGCACTTCACTGAAAGAAAAAAATTCCGATTTTAAGCAGAGCAGCACCACAAAGTAACATTGACCGAACAGGAAGCAAAGTATAACTGATCCTTTGGCAGCTTGTGTAAGGGCAGGCTGCGGATCTTGTCAAGTTGGATAATTTATAGGCGCATAAAGTCAACCGCCCTTCACGGCCCTGCATTGTATAGCGTGCGAAATGTGCATAGGGTGAGAGAAGAAACGGCATGAGTCACGTACCGTGTTCTACTGCTGATGCTGAACAAAAAGTTGGTTAAAAGTAGGTCCATCTGGCTACCTTTTAGTTCACTGTAATATCTTTGAACTCATTCAGAAAAATAATTTTTAAGGGAAAACTGCTTAACTCAAGCATCTTTGCCATGAAGATACATCAACAAGAAATCGAAACGCAAAAAGAAATGATTTATAAATTACGTAAACAGCTACTGGAAGTAAATCACAAAAAACAAATACATTATCTGAGTATGGATATTGAGTCGTACAAAGCAAGCGAGGTTAGAGTCTGAATAGCATCAGTGTACTTCAAGACACGTTTGTGAAAGAACTATGTAATCTCAAAAACCAGTGTGTAGAACTAGAGAATCAGATAAATCAGCAAAAGGTCAATAGAAATGATGAAACAGAGGAGAATGGTATTATAGTCATTGGTGATAACAATGTGAAAAAAATCTACTAGGATAAATGAAAACGTTTTGGAACAAAAGAGTGATATAGCTACAGTGAAACAAGTGAATCAGTTACGAGTATCAATCTGATGATGATGATGATAATAATAATAGTAACAATAATAAGAATAATAATAGCAATAATAATAATAGACGTCTTTATTCGCCAAACATCAACAAATAAACTTACATTCACATAATCAATAGCTTGGCGAAGGACGAAGTTCAGATATGCGCCACTGATGTGACGCTCATCTGCTCTTCCACTTGGTCCTGTTAAATCATGTTAGATTCAACCCAACGCATAATGCAAATATTAAATTTGCATTGTCCACAGAATTATCAGCTCTGTCTGCTAAATAATGTCCGTTTGACATGGCTCTTGCATTTTACAATATTAAATGTTTTAATTTCTTTCAAAAAACCATCGTACACGCTACACGTTTGGTTGGTGAAACATAAAAAAGCACAGTGAAACCTAGGAGGAGACAGTATTCCCTTAAATTCTACAATGTAAAGTGTGTACATCGGTGCGAAATTCTATTTTATTATAGAGATAATTATATGGGCTGTTTAGCAATTATTAATCTATCATATAATGTAGACAAGCCGCGTGCAATAGCCGTTTGTTACACATGTTTGGCTAGCCTACTTTATATGATTTGTGATAGACTGCTTGGTCCGCGTATACCATAGGTTAGTCTTAAGCAAGGCTTTTGTACTTTTGGATTTTTTTTTTGTTTATACACAGATGTTAAATGGGGATCATATACAACATCGTGATAGGAGTAAAAATGAAAGTATTGATACTGGTTGATGAATCTGCAAATAATAGGGCATCTCTCTTGACCAACATTCGTCAAGATTGTCATACAAGGTTACAAGGCATTGTAAATGCAGACATGGATTTTTGGGAATCGGCGGCACAAGTGTTCAACGTAT